GGACAGCCAACAAGAAGGCATTGCGGGCTCACAGCCTTACCTTATCTAGACCATTCAGCACTGGAATCAGGAACCGGACATCCGGGAGACGCTTCTGATAGAGCTCGCGGACACGTTTCACCAGTTCCGGAGATGGCGGCACTAGTACAAGAAACCCCCCCAACATATTTACTTCCATATTACATGAGTACAATGGCTGACCCTAACCCTAACCCAACATATTTACTTCCATATTACATGAGTACAATGGCTGACCCTAACCCAACATATTTACTTCCATATTACATGAGTACAATGGCTGACCCTAACCCAACATATTTACTTCCATATTACATGAGTACAATGGCTGACCCTAACCCAACACATCCACATTCATTTAAACTTTGCAAAATTGCTGACCCTCAACCACCATAATCATTACGATATTACATGAGTCAACTTGCTGACCCTAACCCAACATATTTACTTCCATATTACATGAGTACAATGGCTGACCCTAACCCTAAGGAACTGACAGAACACAATCTATACAAGTGCCCAGAGACCCTAACCCGACTGCCAGAATGCTTTATACTTTCCCATCATCTGTACTACCGAGCGCCTGGAGCATCACGTTCACCGTTAAATCACCTTTATCAGTCAGGATGTGCAGGCAGCGAGTGACCAGAGTTTCAGCCCCTTTGGGGCAGTTCTCAACCAATAGTAGCAGCTCAGGAGAGTTCATCCCCATGCCCCGAATCTGCAGGGAGACAAAGGAAGAGTTGTACTTGTAATCCGTCCATCTATCTCACCATCATTTCAGATATTCCTCTACCAAGCTGCCCCCTACCTCAGAAACTCCCACAGCAGAGGTAATGGCAACTAGGGAGGCCACCGGGGTAAGTGTAGACAAGGGTATATACCCGGCAGGTCCAAAAAGAGAGATTGTTTATAAAGAACTGGCAGAACTAGGTTAGAGATCCCACGGGAACATGTACACAGGAAATCACCTCACACGTCACCCCTCTGTCAATCTGCACTGACTTCCTGTTTCTTTTAGAATACACTTCTACCTACAAAGCTCTGCAGAACCGCGCACCAGCTTACATGTCATCCCTAATTACAAGATCTACTCAAAATCAGCCACTTCATTCCACTAATGA